TTTCATGTGATTTAATTAGTTAGTTATGAAGTTATAGTGATTTAATTAATTCCAAAAGCGAGTGTCCCACACTGTATCTCTCCTTATTACAAACCTGAAAAACTATGATCAGCTTTTCTCTCCAAAAGATTGGCAGAAAAGAATCATGTCATATTGGCTACCAGGCCACTGATATGAATAGAACTGTAACTATCAACCCAACTGGCATGACAGACTTTATAGCAAGAAGCATGTTAACCTACTTAGGCAATTTTGAAAAGAATCATTATATGGTACCAATCATGGAGAATTACTGTGGTGATTTATAGGAGTTGTATCCTGCTTGGTATTCATACTTCAAATTTGATAGCTAAAGTCAACCAAGAGCCTATGGAGTGTCCACTGGAGAATTTAGGAGTTGTGTTCCACTAGGCCTATAGGTCTCCAGATTTGATAGTGTGTGAACAACTCTTGAAGCATTTACTAGAAAGTGTAAAGTAATAAGTTTATAAATATCATAAATTGTGTGAGCAGACAGTAGAAATATAAAAAAGAACCTAATGATGATTAACATGCTAAATCACAGTCGGACCTTTATAAAAACTAGAGACACAAGATCAGGTAGTTTAAAACTGAAGGCAGAATTTCCACCTTCTTAATGCCTCCCTCCTGGCATATGGATCTATCCACAAGGTGCTGTTGATATGTTGGGATAAAAAAGCAATAGGCTAGTATTAACTTTAATAAATGCTTAATATAATAACTAGGGCTTTGAAAAAGTATCAAACTGATATCAAAATGGTACTGATCTATAGTAAATTTAATATATGGATTGTGACCTACTCATATGTTTTTATAGTAAATTTAAGTATCAAACTGATATCAAAGTGATATTAAAGTAGTATCATTAGGAGCCCTAGTAATAACAGTACTATTATTTAGTAAATAAAGTCTCACATTTTATGCTTATTTGCAAAAAAAAAATAGATATTTTAGAATAGTGAAAAATAAATGAACAATAATTTCCACAATTAGCATGCATTATATATGATTTTTTAGTAATATCTGTAACAAGTATACCTGTAGAACAGGTTTTTTTGACAAGTAAAAATTTAATTGCAAAAAACAAAAATTGGTTGCTAGATAAAATAACAAGAGTATATACTGTATGTGTTTAAAATCAAATAGTGATTAAAAATTTTAAATATATATAATATAATTATATTTATATATTTAATAAATATGATAAAAAAAAGTAATTGATAGGCTCTTTTCACTAATCCTTTTGCCAACTCAAAAAACAAACATTTTCAAAAGATTTTTTGTCTTTATAATAATAAAGTTTCTATACTTTTCTTAACAATACTGGTTTCTTAACTAGCAAAGCGAGCAGAAGCTATTACTTGTTTTACTTTTCTTTTTCAAAACACTTTTCTTGTTTATTTTTGTGACTAAATATAAGAAACCTATCTAAAAGGTTTACAGCAAGAATACCTTTATAGAAAGAAAACTGACAAGAAAAAATATTCTCCAAAGACCCCAAAAGATTCAAGAATCTAGAAAAACAAGAATAAAGAAGTCTCTAGTCTTTCCATCATCTCTTTGACTTCCTATTTCTTTTTTCTCAAGCATGTTTCCTTTTTTCCTAGTTTTTCTGGGAAATTTTGCCTACCTCAATTTGATCCTAAATTTTTTGATTACACCAAATTTCTTGAAAGATAATTGGTCAAGGTCATGGATTAATTAATCATATCAGTCACAGAAAAAATAAACAAGACATGTACTCCTCATGTGTTTCCAGTCACACAATACCAAACTGATAATGTGATTGGTTCCTGAAAGAATTGGTCAGTTTTCAGTTAAAGGAATAATATGGAAGTATTAGGTAAAGTTGAAGTTGTGAATAAAAAAAAAGCAACTCCTTTTTGTTTTTATCCTTTTATTTTCTTTTTTCTTCCCTATTTTTTCTTGAGGACAGAAAGTAGCAACAAGGTCTAGATCCTATTCCAATCTGATAACAAGTTGAAATACCAATATCTATCCCAAAAATGGTTGAAGAAAGAAATCTTAAAACTATCTACTGATTGAGTGAAGCTATTGTCATATATTGTTTCTACCTCAGGAGAAAGATAAAGATGGAGAACTAGTAGCAGGAAGGCACTTTAGATGGGCAGGGCCAATGTGGTATGCTAAAGTTCCTAGAGGCGTACAAATTAATACAATTCTGAGGTGTATGAGGTCAGGCGAAAGAGGCAATGGTGATTTGTTTTGTAAAGGTCAAGATTAAGGATGGGTCCCTAAACTATTTAGCATATAAAATTTCACAGATCAATTATGTCCCTTTTAAAGAGACATAATTATTTATTTATTACT